GATGCTGCACTGCACCACTCTCCGCTTTCCCCCCCTCAATCCGCTCATCACTACGCATTTGCTTGCGCGAGGTGCTTACTCCCACTTGCGCCCTCGATTCAGCACCCCATCCTTCGGTATGGATCCTGGACCATCTCGAAGAAGTCTCGGCGGCAATGGAGGGGCACAAGGGGAGGGGGTCGGTGGCGGAAGAGAAAGGAATCGGCATGGCGGAAGAGGAGGGGGAGAAGAAGAAGGAGGTTGGGGCAAGCACACGGCGCAAGCCATGCAATCGCAATCCAACTCCATTCATCGCACCACCAATCTCCCCAAATCGCTGCAGCAGTCCATGCCTCTGCCGGAAGCTCGAGCGCCCAAGTCATTGGGACGCATCCAGGACAAGAAGTTGCGAGCTCAATTAGGCAAAGCTCATTTGGATTCCAAGCGAGCCAAGGAACAAGCCAAGTTGGCCGACGAATACATCCATGCGCCTCAGGCTGGTGAAGAGGCGGGCATGATAGAGGTGGAGAGCAGTATGGAGAGGACTGCGCGTGTCACTCAGAGGGAAATCAGGCAGAGCATCGCTTTGGACGCAGCTACAAAGTCCTTCTCCCTCGATCTCTCCGCCAACAAGGGCAACAGTCGGAATGCGCCCAACGCCAGTCTGGGACCGTACCGCGCAGACTATACGCGCAATGGCAGACATCTACTGCTAGGCGGTAGAAAGGGTCATCTGGCAGCGTTCGATTGGCAGACGGGTCAATTGCTGTGCGAAGTGCAAGTCAAAGAGACTGTGAGGGATGTGAAGTGGCTGCACAACAAGTCCTTCTTTGCAGCAGCGCAGAAAAAGTACGTCTACATTTACGACTCTTCGGGAGCAGAGGTGCACAGGCTTAGGGACCACATAGAAGTGACCAGGATGGAATTTCTGCCCTATCATTTCCTCCTCGCCACCGTGGGCAACGCTGGGTGGCTAAAGTATCAGGATACCAGCACAGGAGGTATCGTTGCGCAACACCGGAGCGGACTAGGCGCTTGCCACACTATGGCACAGAATCCACTATCCGCCTTGATACACCTTGGTCACGCAAATGGCACAGTGACCATGTGGACGCCAAACTTGTCAAGCCCCGCCATCAAGATGTTGGCGCATCGAGGACCTCTGAGCGCCATTTCCATATCGACGCAAAATCAGAGCAGAGATATGGCTACTTCTGGTCTGGACGGGTCTGTAAAGGTGTGGGACGTTAGGATGCTCGGCCGAGGAGCTCTTCGTGAATGGCAAAGTCGCAAACCTGCCAGCGATTTAAAGTATTCTCAAAGAGGCTTGCTGGGCGTAGCCTGGGGCAGTCACGTCTCCATCTACGATCCCAAAGCCCCTTTCAAAGCTGCAGTCACTCCTGGCCCGTACCTCACAAACGGTTTTCCCAGCGGTCCGCCCATCAGCATCAACTTTTGTCCATTCGAGGATGTCCTCGGCGTCGCTCATTCGAAAGGCTTTGACTCGCTCGTCATTCCGGGCGCTGGTGAACCGAGATACGACTCGACGGAGATTGATCCCTATGAAGGTAGAAATAGCAGGCGGGAGCGCGAAGTGCACGCTCTGCTCGACAAGGTGAGTCATGGGAGCCAATTGTCACCGGCAAGGTATATCCTCGCAGCATTTGCAGCTGCAGGCACTTGCTCACGCATGTAAGAACCTCTTGGCGCTTCTACCTCGACGCAGATTCAACCCGAGATGATCACGCTGGATCCAGAGACGCTGGGTCAGATTGATCACTCGACGGCAGGCAGCGCAGCTCCCCGCGAGGAATCGCCTCCTCCTTTGGGTGGCCGACAATTGGCACGTTCTTCGGATGGGAGGCCGTACGCCCGGCTTAGTCGTCTCGAAAGGCTACGTTTAGATGGCCTAGCCGACGAAGGTCCGGATGCCGTCATTCGGCCCGTTGGGGATGTGGACGAAGCGGTGTCCGGAGATGGGGGCATGATCGCGGGGACCAGAAGCGTGGCGGTGCCAAGCGAACGATTGGTGCGTGATAGGGAAAAGAAAAAGGCGAGGGGCAAGAATAGCAGCTTGAAGAGATATCTTAGGAAACAAAAGGTCAATGTGATCGATCCCAAGGCACTTGCGGCTAGAGAGAGGTTGGAGAGGTCCAAGCAACAGCAGGCTACCATCAAGGAACAAAAGAGAAGAGAAGAGTTGGGCCTGCCTCCCATCGAGCAGGACCATAGTGCTCTTGCACTCTTTAGCAAGAAGAAGAGAAGAGCTGGATAGGCTCGTGACGGTAGACCATCTTTTGTCACTCATGCCATCTGTACTCAACGTGAAGCATCATTTTCTGATCGTTGAGACTTTGGACAGCCCATATGCAGTCGATCGCTATAATACAATGCGTACAGTGCCAGCTTCAAAGGAGCTCAAGACCATAGCTCGCTCTGTGAAGAGCTCGAAGCGTTCGGGTCGTCATCATCACCTTCTTCCTCGCCTCCTTCGCCCTCGTCTTCCTCTTGTTCGTCATTCTCCTCCTCGTGCCCGGCCTCGTCTAGCTCGTCTCCATGATCCTTCGTCTCCTCTTCTTGCTGCACGTCCATGCCGTGCTCGTCCGCCTCGGATTCGGCTGCGCGCCCGGTTTCATTCTCTTGAAGAGCAGCATCCGCATCAGCTGCTTCTTTCGCTCGTACTTGGGCGCGCGCTCTTCGTTCGCTGCGAATCTCTTGTAATTGTGCTTGTTTGAGATCGCGCTCCGTCGTCAGGCGCTTCAAGGCGTCCAATTGGCGATTCTGCAGCGCGCGGCGAGCAGCAGCACGTCAGAGAGACGTTTCACTAGCTGAAGAAAAATGTCACAGAATTCTGGCACTCACCTTGATCACGACATTGGTAGCAGCGTTTGCTTCGTTCGTCTTGCGTTTGACCAGCAATTCCATCTCCTTGACCGCCGCTTCCACTTGAGATTCTCTCACTCTTCGTTCGCTCTCTTCCGCATCCACATCATCATCATCGTCCAGATCTGGCCCATCTTGATCATCCCCTTCTCGAGCTTCCTCATCGTCCTCTCCTCCAGACTCGTCCTCTTCGTCCTCATCTCCCCAGAGATCTCCATCTCCCTCTTCCGAGGTAGCTCTGGCAGAAACGCTTCGTCCTCGACCGCCCCGCGTGTTCGAAGTGGTGACAGAAGCCGAGCCTTCGTCTGAGCCCGACTCCGAATCTGACGCCTCGCCTCGCATCACAGCTTCCAATTCTGCAGCGAGCGCCATATCCACCATACCTTCACCTTCGCCCTCTTCTTCGTCTATATACTCTTCCCGCCCTTCACCTTCAGTAGGAGCTACCGATCCGTCTCGGTCTTCACCGCCTTCGCCTCCGTCATCTTCGCCATCTTCCTCATCCCTCTCGCCATCTTCATCGCCGACCATCGAAGCGCCTTCTCCAGCGCCACCTTGAACCTCCTCTTCGTCTCCACCACCATCAGATAGATCGGCCACGTCGATCATTTCTGTGCAACATGATCGTGCAGCGTGAGCGGGTGCAAAGCGGGTATCGCAGTCTGACGAGCCACGACTCACCGTACTCGAGCTTCTCTGCCCGCTTGTCGTCTGCTAGCAGCCTTTCGACCTCTTTTTCGACCGTTTCAATGACCTGTGCACAGGAACGTGGGCCAAGTCCATGAAGTGCAACCAAAAATACGCCACACTCCAACATCGCTCACACGCTTGTTGGTGCGCTTACGGAAGCGCCTCTTCCTCGCGTATCTCATTGGAGGTGTGATACCGCTGTCCCAGACGTACGCGTCGGCACCTCCGCCTTTGCGATCGTTTACGTCTTCCTCTTCCTCCCTTCTGTCGCCATCACCTCCGACGAGAAGCATCTGACTGATATCGGCAACCTTGAACAGTTGACGACCGTCCAGCGTCTTGTGCGTCTCCAAAATCGTGGGCAGGTCAACCAATTTGGCCGGCAACGTCGTATTACCGATCTTGAACGTCGCTCTACGAGAGTCTAAATGTGGTGCCAACAAGGTCAGCAGTTTCGCATGGCATGTAGCGGGTACGACGCTTGTACACTCGCTCACCTTTAAACTTGAGCTCGACATTCGCCTTGTCTGTCCCAACTGCACGATTTTTGACCCATCCTCTCAAGGTTTCGAGTTCTGGGCTGCCAGCAGCAAGTCTTAGAATGAGCTGCTCTTCAAAGGCGACGCCAGATCCCTTGCCATCTTGAGCTTCCGGTCCATCTTTCGTCACAGCCTTGGCGACACCTTCGTCATCATCATCTGAATCATCCAGCTCCCTGGTGTAGCCCTGCATGTATGCCTCATTCTTTGGTCCCGTGCCCGAAGTACTTCCTCCCGCGCTGCCAATCGTAGATTTCAGGTTGAGCTTCAACCTTCTCGCCAGACCGCCGCCCAATAGACTGGCAGCACCAGCCCCGCCATTATTTGTACCCTTTCTGCTTGGTCCTCCACCGCCTTCAGCTCGAGTCTGCTCGGAGACAGCTGCAGCAGCAGCCACGGCAGCAGCTCTAGCCGATTGCCTGGCAACCGAGAAGCCACCTGCCGCTGCTGTGCTAGGCGCAGTCCTCTTTCGTCGTCTGCGCGCAGTGCTACCTCCATCAGAGGCCGAGTCTGAATCCGCATCGTCATCTGAATCTGACGATGAGGGCCGATTCATTGCTGCGAGAGCAAGAGCAGAGGGTCGACGTGCTCTGTCTGACGACCGAGCTGCCGTCGCTGGTGCTGGTGCTGGAGGAAGGGCGGACATCGATGTCGGTACAGCAGCTGCAGATGGGACAGCTAAGCTCGGACCCGCTACTGGCGCTTCGTTGTCCACTTCCATGCTGACGGGTGTCGTGATCAGTCCGTCAGTGTGTGCCAGAGCACCGCGGGAACAGGCGGCAGTGGTCAATTGTACGCGAGCAATGTTGCTTCAAGTGGGAACATCAGCACCGGCCGACGAACAGGTGTTTGGGCCGGCAGCGAAAGTGTTGCGATGTGGTAAAAGATGGAGTCAAAGTCGAGTCCAAGTCACACAAGTGTGAGTGCGAAGATCCGCAAGGCTTCATCCGGGCTGGGCTCCTGCTATGGCCGCGTGACTATATGCATGCAGCGCATCCCGCCATCGGTCATCAGGAAAGCGTGCATGCGGGCGCGGCCAATGCGCGTTACCTCAGCCTTGCCCGCGCCATTCCTCCACTTTGCACCATCATCCATGCCATTCGATCCCCTCAACCGCACTCACACTCGCACCCACGACTGCATGTGACATCGAGCCCGACCTATCGCATTCATTAGCAACTCTTCTTGGTGCGGACCATCTTACTTCTTTGGTGGTTGCGATTATCGCACAGATGCGCAACGCAGCGATCGCAGCACGAAGTATAGGCGGATCAAGTCGCATCCCATCTCTCGCTACACAGAGGCTCCAATCCGTCCAATCGCATCTCGTCTCACATCGCACCATGGCATCAACTACCTCAGCTAAACATAGCGCTGGTGTAGGAGCATCATCAGCCCCCTTCAACCCTGATCAGATGCCCACCTTCGACCCTTCACCCATCAATCCTAATCCTTTGCGAAAGGACAAGTACGTGGCCTCGGCAGGCTGCATCATCATCGGCGACGAGGTCCTCAATGGAAAGACCAAAGATAGCAATTCAAACTATTTTGCAAAGTGGTGCTTCAACCTCGGAATCGATTTGAAGCGTGAGTGCGTGTGGCTATATACACGCATGTAGGCGATACCCACTGGTTACGTGCCATCAGAGCGTCCGCTGATCGCAATGCTTCACTCTATCACTAGGGGTTGAGGTCATTCCCGACGATGAGGACGACATTGTCGAGACGGCCAGGCGCATGGCTAGCAAGTATGACCTCGTTATCAGCTCGGTGAGGTCCGCTCGCGTCCGTCAAAATTTAGCCGTGGGGCTGATGAACTCATGCTTTGGCTCTGCCATCCTAGGGTGGCATCGGACCAACTCCGGATGATATCACGTATCAGAGCATGGCCAAGGTGAGGCGCCTGTCGCGCGCACATCTTCCCCAAGGCCTGGGTTCATTGTTTCTCATCTCGTGTGCCAGGCCTTTTCGGACGGGAAGCTCGAGCACCATCAAGAGACGCTGAGGCGCATGGAGCTGAACCTCAAGGCTCGTAGGCGAGACGTCTCGGGGACTGAAGAGGTGAGCAACAATGGCAGGCAGCTTCTCGAAGCGTTGCTGACATGTGCTACAACCTCGACTCGCAGATGATGACTGCTCGAAAGCGCATGGCCTTGTTTCCCGTCTCGACATCCAACTCTTCCGTCGAGGTCATCTTTCCAACCACGCAGCTCTGGGTTCCCGTCGTTCGTCTCTCTGGAAAAGTCTGCATCTTGCCTGGTGTGCCTCGACTCTTTGAAGGGCTACTGGACGGCTTGGAAAAGTACGTTCCCATTGATCCCAACAGACCCAGACCTTATCGCTTGTTGGTGCACACCAAGTGGCCAGAAAGCAACATTTCTCCTTTCTTGGTCGAGCTGACGGAAAAGTGCAAAAAGGAGGGCATCAAAGTCGGCAGTTATCCCAAGGTAAGTTTGGCGCTGTCACTTTCAAGGGGGCAAATGCGCCGAGGTCTACAATCAACGATGCTGACCTTGCGTGCTTGCTTAATCGGCTCCGCTCGTCTATCAGTGGAACTCGGGCGTGGACGTTTCGCTCATCGGTGAAGATTTAGCCCGCCTACAAGAGCTCGGGAGCGAAGTGGAAAAGGCGGTGGAGGGCAAGATCACCACGGCTGGCAAGATCGGCGAAGAGTCCAATTGAGATGAATCCTTCTTTGCGTGTGATACAACGAACGACGACTACATGTCTCCCTCTATGGTCGTGCTAGCGCTCGGCGGAAAGCTCCACCCGGGAGGGAGCCTTTGCCTTTGCGTCCCCATTCACATCACGGCGCCGCACGTAGAATGCCCGTTGTCGCTTGGCCCCTCACACTGCACATCGCTCTCTGTCCTTCTCGCACAATCTTGCACTCGAATGCCTGACGTCCCGATGTCCTCTCACTTGCTTATTTTGACACCGCTTGAAAGAGTGACCGTGCTCCTGAACGCTTGTCATCTTCGACAACCAGCTTGCACGCACGCGCAGTGAGATTCATGCGAATCATTACACAGCAAACACGCACTTCAGGTGCTGCCTCGGGGACAGCAAAGTTGGGATCTCACATCACACTGTGCGTATCTTGTTACATAACTTGGGGAAGACAAAACAGCCCGGGAGTCGAAGAGTCGAGGAACGAAGAACAGAGTCAGTTTGCGATGGGTGAGAGGGAATCAGCTTGATGCAGCAGGAAGTCTGTGCGTGCGCTAGCAGGGTAGGAGGACGTTCTGCACGAAATGCCTCTGTGGGCAACCGACTTTGCAGCTCGCGAGCAGGATGGCTGCCATTTTACAAAGTCCCAACAGCTCCGCCAGCCCTTCTCGCTCTGCAAAAGGCCCCCAAGCACGCGCTCAACCCCTTCTCGCGCCCTCGTCAGCGCCTGGGTAGGACCGGTCTAGCAACATCCGCCCTTTTTGGCGTTGCCTCCATCATCTGCCGATGGTTGCACTGTGATCGTCTCTCCGCCGCTGGGCTTGATGACATCGTCTGAGCTTTGCAAAGCCTTGTTTGAGACGATGCGGTAAATTTCTGAGAGGGTTGGAGAGAAGGCCTACCTAGTGAGACATTCGCACTTTGAGATCGTCCTCACTATCGCACTCCGACTTACCAGTCAAGATGTTCTGGAAAGCCTGTTCTACATTCGAAGCGTCGAGAGCGGAAGTCTCAATGAACGAGAGGTTATTCTCTTGAGCAAAAGCTTTGGCCTCCTCGGTGGGCACAGCGCGCAAGTGTCGCAAATCGCTCTTGTTTCCAACCAACATGATCACAATGTTGCTGTCCGCATGGTCCCTCAGCTCTTTGAGCCAACGACTGACGTTGACGTATGTCGGGTGCTTGGCAATGTCATACACCAGCAAAGCACCTACAGCTCCTCGGTAGTAGGCAGATGTGATGGCTCGGTATCGCTCCTGGCCAGCTGCGAGAGACAAAATCGCGTGCTCGATCAGCATCGCTAGGCGCTCGGACGGGCAGGTACAATTTCTCATCTAGGCAAAACCCTCGAGCCTGTGCGCTGCTGAGACACGACCCGGCCAAGCTGCACGGTGCGGATGATAGGCTGTGGTAGAGGTCGGTTGCGCTCGTGTCCATGTGAGACCTTGCCGAGAGCCAGCTGAGGTGCGGCAAATCCATATGGATGCAGATTTCATGCTATCGCAGAGGCGCTCACACCTCAGTGAGATCCTGCGGATGGCTCCAAAGAGCACCGCTCCTTTTAGACGCGCACAGCAAGTGGCCTGTCGCCGCTTTCGTCGTCATCTCTCGACCAGGCTCCATGCGTTTGCGTTCCAACACCGAGCGATCAAGCATACATCCTTGTCCGCCTGGAGAGCTCAGGCACTCACCAGTGTCCCAAATCTGAGCCTTGACAGTCTTTCCATCCACAGCGATGGATCTAGTAGCGAACTCGACACCGATAGTGCTCTTGCTCTCCAGGCTGAACTCGTTCCTGGTGAATCGAGACAAGAGGTTGGATTTACCTGTGCCACTGTCTCCGATCAGAACCACCTTGAACTGTGGGTGCGCGCAGGCGATGTAGAGGAGCACATGAAAAGAGTGAGAGGTTGAGCATTTGTCATCGTGCGTCCAAACGTGTGAGCACATGCTCAACCGTGACCTTACTACTTACCAGAAAGTCGTAATTGGATTCCGCAGCCATTTCGTCTAGATGGTGAGATGGTAGCTGTCGGTTGTACTGGATAAAGTCCTGCAAAGTCGTGCCCAAGGTATGCTTCGGTCACCTAGCAATTGCACGAGAGACTCGAAGACAATCTGCGTCCCGGGTCCGATGTACGTGTGAATTCGATCTCTGTGCGTCGGATGAGTAGATCTACGCCAAGGTGATGTATGGAGTGCTCTCGATTCAGATGGTGGTGTCTGGAGTGATTACTTGAGAGCGGCGCTGAAGATGAACAGATTGACGAGCGCAGTCGCCATGTGTCTTGACGAAAGGGTGATGGTGGAGTCAAGTTGAAGGGTGAGCACGCTCGAGCTCGCAAAGGCCTCAGCAGTCACAAGCTCAAAATTGGAGGCAGCATGCAGCAGCGACACACCGACTCGGCGAGCCCAGCAGCACGCATCACTCATGCACAAACTCATCAGTCGTCGCGAGTCAAGTCACGGGTCAAGTCGTGAGAGTCTTTGTCTTGCCGCCTGCCCGCGGTAGGGCTGAGTGCGCGCCGTTGATGCGTGTATCAAGACCGCGCGCACAACACCAGCAAAGGCCGCACGACATGACAAGGCGCGCACCACACCGCCCGCCCGTGCCCAGCAGCAGGAGTCCGCAGACGCATATGCACTTGCCTGCATGAGCCTTATAATCATATATGACTTGCTCGACACGCCTGCAAGGATATGTAATTCACATTCGTGACTCGTGATTGCACAGCTCTTCTCAGCATTTCTCCAGCGCGCACGACTCTCAGTGGGCTGTTGTCCAGCTGCTGGCCATGCATGATCGAGCACACTCAAGCTACGCCTTGCTAGCAGCAACGCAGGCTGCTGGCATTCCCCAGACATCGAACACGTGAGATCACGAGCAGTGTCGCTCTTGACTTTACGCCTAGGAACCCTCTCACAACATACAGCGACTCAATCAAGAATGATGATTTGCACTTTCTTTGCAATTCTCAATATCCGTGCTCTCTCTCTCTCTTGCTCGGTCAATGTGCACGGCGTGAAGGAGAGCTAGGGCATGGCTACCGTGATGCACGTTATTCTATTCTCGCGCACGCACATTCATCTCGATCGGTGACCTTATGATGTTGCCAAACGTGCCCTCGAACCAATCACATCTTCAGCGCGGACGAGACCATTGCTCCTGCCAACTCGAACTTCTATCTGCGCAAGCTCCGGCCCTTGCTCTTCCCAGGTGGCAAAGCGTGGAAAAGCCCCCCGGCATGTTCCCCGGAAGGGCTTTCGATTTGCAATTCAGCACCGGCTGATAGGGCAGCCGATTCCTGCGCGGCTTTGCTGTTCGCCAGCCCGTTCCCACTGCCACCGGCGCCTCCGATCGATGTAGCTGCCGAGCTGGTGTTTTGCAGTACGTCGAATTTGTCCATCAGCTCGTTTGTGAGGTGTAGAGACTGGGTCAGGCTGCCCAGGTACTGAGTGAGTAGCACATCAGAGTATTCCTAGGGTGAATGCGAGGCGCATGTAAGCTTGGAGCGGTGGCCCACTTCCGCGCTGCGGCTCTCAACTCACCGTGTGATACTCTTCCATGAACTCTTCCACTTCGTCCATCCGCGGTAAAGCAGCTAGCACAGCTTTGACCTGTCGCAGCGCCTCTTCATCTCGTGTGACACTCCCAGCCAAGATTCCCTGCACGTATCCATGTACCGTCTGTATGCGTTCTGCAAGCATCGATATCGCACTGTGTTGTGTCTTCAAGGTGGCCACGACTGCGAGAGCAATGACATGGACACATCACGTCAATGTGATGCTCTCAGCTAAGTCGCCAGGACAGGCATGGACTCACGTCGACTTTCTGATCCATCGCTACTGCTCTCGGCAGGCCTGCTCGTGTAGTCGACCGCGATCCTCTCCGCTTCCCCGGTTCTCAGCTCGTACTTAGCGGGCACAAATACGATGCTCGGCTCGCCCGTGGCCACCTCTAAATTGCTGGCTTGAGAAGATGACTCGCCTTCGGTGATGTCCATTGCATCGTCCGAAGCAGCATGCTCCGTCTTCCCTCTATTGCCAGGCCGACCCGTCACGGCAGGCTGGCTCATGGCATGAGACCCATCAAAGTCGAGCAATGCTTCATACACTGTGACTGGCAGCTCCGCTCGACCCTTGGCGTTAGTCAGCGCTTCTGTGGTGGGAGCCAGTTGGAGAAACAATGGAGACTCGTTGTGTTCGAGTAGCTGTGAGCAATGAAGCCCGAGTCAGCCCCGTGGCAATAAAGGGCACAGATTGAAGAGTCACACACCTGCTTGTGTATGGACAAGTCCTGTGCGCTCGGCGCTACGCCGACTCCATACCATCCAAGAAAGTCGAGCGTGGGAAAGACTTGCTTGACTGGATTAGGTAATCAAGCTCGCAGCGATCAGCTCTGGCTCCAACGGGAGCATTCGTAACGGACTCACACTGTGCAAAGCGCTTATCGAGCCATTCTTGGTCGATTTTGAGCACAGCGCGAGAAGTGTGAGAAGCGGTAGCGTTGCTAGTACTGCTGCTGGCCACCTTTATCTCGAAGGAATTTTGGACTTGGACTTCTCTGCCGTGTTGCGTTCCGAGCAGAGCGCCGTAGACTGGAGGCATAGACGCAGCTAGTCAGAAAAGTCGTCGTGATACGCTTGAGAGCAAGTCGAGAATTGTGTGGCTCACCAAATGGACCAGCATCATCGTTCCTGTCGCGATGCCTTTGTGATACCTCTCGAGTCAAGTGCTCCGAAATGCTCAGTATGGGAAGCGGATGTCTGCAAAGGGTATGCGCCGAGTTTAGTCAGCGACTATGCAACGATCGTCATGTGAGCTTTGAGCACTGACAAAGAGATGGTCACGCTCACATCCCCGCCTTTCGTAGTGGAAGACGTGCCGACTTGAGCAGAGCCCGATGAGGACGCCATGGCCGTCACTGTCGACCTGATTAGCTTTGAGAGCGGAGCTGATTGACCCAAGCTGCGAATGTACGCTCGCACAATATCGTTGACGCTGGTGTTGCGCAGTTCACAATCAGTGGATTGTACACTAATCTGAGTCGCGCGTAGTCGATTCACGATTGTGTGAGATGTACGATATCGACGTCGTTTTCCATTCTCCCACTCACACTCTCGCTAGGCAGCGGAGTGATTCAAGCGGCTGAATCCTGCCAGAGCTCCACACGATCGACTCTTGATGTGCAGCATGAACTCAGCCGGCTTAAATCTCTCTACACGTGACACGCGCACGGCTCAAATGTTTGATGAATTTGAATGCACGCCCGCGGTGCAGACTCGGCGGGCGGCTTATCCGTGCGCACGCAGGCACCGTGTGCTCGCCGGCAGCTCTTATAGACAGCGCATACATCCCACGGAGGATGCAGAGACCAAAAGTTGCACGCACGGCACGCACGCTGGTCTGCTCGATCCACCCGTGTACCAGCAGCAAGCTGCTACTCACCACCATCACGTACCCCCAACAGCTTCTTGCACCGCTCGCGATCTGTTCAGCTTAGCTGCAACGACTCCAACAATCTGCCATTCACTCCGCCCACCCACGCCATGATCGGCGCACTCCGCACCCTCCCTCGCGCAGGGGCGCAAAACCTCCGCACAGCATCATTGATGTTCGCCTCTCGTTCCGGCGGAGCTGCACAACAGGTGCGCAACCTTTCCATCCACGAGTACCAGTCTATGGAATTGCTGGGCAAATATGGTATCGCAACACCCAAGAGCGTCGCTGCCAAGACTGCGGATGAAGCTGCCAGTGTCTTTGAGAAGCATTTCCCAAAGGGCGCTGTGATCAAGGCTCAGGTGCTGGCAGGAGGCAGAGGAAAAGGTCATTTTGAGGGAGGCCTGAAGGGAGGTGTGCACGTCGTCAAGAGGTGAGTGCACAAGCGCGGTCAGGTGCCTCGATCAGCACCTCGGGGGGGACTCGAGTGCTGATTCTCCCAACTTTATCGCTCCCTAGTGCCGAGGAAGCCAAGAAAATTGCTTCTCAGATGCTTGGACACAAGCTCATCACCAAGCAGACTGGCGCTGGCGGTCGTATCTGCAACGCAGTCATGCTGGCTGAATTGCGCACACCAGCGCACGAGTACTACATTGCAGTTCTAAACGATCGTTCCACCCAGCTTCCTGTGCTCATCGCTTCCAACCAAGGAGGCATGTCGATCGAGGACGTCGCGAAGGAGAATCCCGATGCGATCATCACTACGCCCATCGACTTCACCAAGGGTCTGACGCAGGACAAGGCTCTCGAAATTGCCAAGAAGCTCGGTTTCTCCAAGCCTGAATTGGAGCAGCAAGCGGCAGAGACGTTTGTGAAGCTGTACACGCTGTTCAAGGAGAAGGACGCTACGCAAGTAGAGATCAACCCTTTGGCGGAGAGCCAGGATGGCGCAGTGCTGTGCATGGATGCAAAGCTGGGCTTCGATGACAATGCCGATTTCCGCCAGCAAGATATTTTCAAGCTTCGCGACACGACTCAAGAGGACCCGGACGAGGTGGAAGCTGCAAAGAGCGGGTTGAACTTTATCAAGCTGGATGGGAACATCGGCTGCTTGGTCAATGGTGCCGGACTGGCCATGGCAACGATGGATACTCTGAAGCTGAACGGTGGTAATCCTGCCAATTTCTTGGACGTCGGAGGAGGCGCAACTGCCGAGGCGGTCAAAAAGGCATTCGAATTGCTGCTCTCTGCCAACCCCAAGGCTCTATTTGTCAACATCTTCGGAGGCATCATGCGCTGCGACGTCATTGCGGATGGAATTATCCAGGCTACAAAGGAGTTGGAACTCAAGGTGCCTCTGGTTGTGAGGCTGCAGGGGACAAAGGAAGCTGAAGCTAAAGCTATGATCAAGGAGTCCAAGATGAAGATTTTTGCATTTGATGATCTGGATGAAGCGGCATCCAAGGCTGTCGAGGCGGCTGCCAAGGGCACTCTGTGAACGCGATATAGACCCTGCATCCATGACAGCAATGCAATCGAGTTTGTGGTTGCTATGGGCGCGGGAATGCGTCGCTGGCGGTCGCTGTTGACTGAGACTCGGCCGACCTGAAAGGAGTTGGGGGGTTGGAAGCTTGAAAGACGGACAAGTGGTGCTCGTGGCGGACAGTCCGGTCCGGCAGTCGCGTGAGCCGTGAGTTGCGAATTCTGCTACGGTGCATTACTCTTTCGCTCACAAATGCGGCAAGTGGCAGGCACCGTCGCGCGGATCAGTAGCCTTCGCACTCAGCAAGCCAAAGAGCTCGTGGCATCACGCTCTCACACACCGCCAAGCAAACAGAGTCCTTGGATGCAACTTGTACGAGTTCTTGATTCGAGCTCTGCGTGCTTGGTCGAGCTGCAGCGTACGTCTGTGCGAGTCGAACATTTTCGAGCCACGAGGAGTTCCCGAGCTTCAAGCAGACCAAACTTTGATTCGAGAGCAGCATGAATGCAGCGATATAGTTGATCATGACCTGAATCACAAAGCATACCAGCTCTTAGATCACGGCTGCTCGGCAACCATGGATGCCGCCTATACCTCGATTGATTGACCATCAGAAACAGACGTATACTCGACTCAGGTCTTTGCGTACCGACTCACACCTGCTAAAGTCACGCACGCTATAATATCCGCGCGCATTCTTCCCCTTCCATGCCGGCTGACCGCGGGCGCAGCCATGCTTGTGCAATTTCGTGCTTTCATTGCAATCACGTATGCCGACAATCAATCACAATTCATTGATCGCTGCTGCTGTCAAGCCATGCAGGCATGCAACTCAGCCCTTTGCACCAAGCGAGGACCCTATGTATGAGCTCGGTTGGATGTTGAACGGTGGTCAGTGTCATGGCCGTGGCGCAAATACTGGTCGATCGGTGCATGCTGTACACATCACATTCATTGATTTGCGTTTCGTGATTGTCAAAATAGCTGCTGCGTGGGCGCTGATGATGTGCATCATTCTGGTGCGTTAGCGGCTCTAACCGGTGCGAAATGGCACCAACACGGCGAGACGCTCAATTGTGATTGCTGGGTTAGATGTTGACGGTCGCTGGCTTGAAGGTTGAGCGTACATCGACCTCCCTCGACCATTCGAGGTTACTCATGCGTCGGTCACCTTCTCCCACGCTCCCAACCCCTCTTTCGACACATTTGCGTGTTTGGCAGTCCCATTCATGCATCCTTTCAGCGCTTCTCCACTTGCACAGATCTGCACTCCTCACTCACACTACCTCAGCACTTCAGCTGTTCTCTAACGTTCGCAAGGATGTCCCTTCAAATGCACGGCCTCACCGTCCGAGCTGCGCTCACATCATTGGATGGGCGATCAGCCAAGTTTCTCGCGATTCATGACATCCATCCCATTCGTCACGGCTGCGACATTTCTGACGGCGACGTTGGCAAGCATTCTACGATTCCTCGAAGAGGCGGCGACGCAGATGAGAGCGAAAGCGAAGAGGAAGCAGAAGAGCTGCAAGCTGGTCACCAGAACCGTCACAGCGGTCGTACAGCGAGCCCCATGCACGAAAAGGTTCCTTGTTCGGTGTCGGCCAGCTATGTCGCACCGATCGAGGAGGATATGATGTGGATAGTCGAGTATAGCCCTGTTGAAGCTGGCTTTAGGTGCCCTGTTCCTTTTATGGTCTACGTCGAGCATACCAATGCGGATGGCGATGAGCTGTTCCGCAGAGTCAACTTTAAGGATCCCCTCCTGCGTCGACAAAACATCGAACTAGGACGTTTGGCTGGAGAGATCAAAGGCCATCTGTATGCCTTTAGCACTTCTGCATCTGTGAGTCTCACTTTCCAAAGATGTCTCCAACCTCGGCTGACGCAGCATTCCACCAACACCGCTACTTCGCTGACAGACGACGACATTCTCCATCTATTTGGGTCTCGCTTCTAGACGCAATGGGAGAGATGTGCAATGGGCCGACAGTCCGTGCCACAAGTTCAAGCTGCTCCACATCGAAGGTGATGCTCAGCTGACCGGAGAAGAATTGAGTCTTCAAACCAATTCGCAGTCGATTCCTCCAGTCGGGCTAGATGAGGGCGTTCAAGTCGACCAGCGCGGTGGACTTTTGGGCTCTTCGCCCGGCAAGCGCAAACGCACGACCGATGACGAGATCAACGTCTCGGCCTTGTTGCAGCGTCAAGGAGCGCCTCGTCCATCTGATCGTTGCAATAGTACTGCTACAGATGTGGAACCCGTACGAGCTTCCTTGGAGCGCACCGTCATCGAGTTGAGCTCCACTACAAACGGCTCCGGCTTCCTCGAGGCTTTGGACTCGAAGGAGCAGGTGAAGATATGTAAGGTCAGGCAAGCTGAAGAGGACGACAGCGTGGAGGAGCAGGGTTTCTTGCCTAGAAGGACCGCAGCTCAGCTTGCGGCGCTTGAAGACGACAAGGCGCAGATGGCGAGGGCTATGGCGAGGGCTCATGCGCAGGATACGATCGACGACGAGCAGGATGAGGACTCGGCCATCGTCAAGCCCGAAATGGAACAGCAGCGTAGACGCGCTGACCAAGCAAATTCTGGCAAAAGCATCCTCGAGAAGTGCCTGAGGGACGAAGCGGACAAGCATCAGCGCTTGCGCAAGATTTGGGCGCGTCAGTGAGTCTCAAGAGCCGAGGTGGCATTGCCTGCCCGTGATCAGCGCCCTCTATTCTGAGAGTCCTGCTTTTCTTTTTCGCAGGGGCGAAATTCCGGATGCGAAAGCAGAGGAGAAGGATGCAGCGATTCGTCGACACACCATTTCGATGGAGAACAAGGAGAAGAAGCATCAAGCTCACTTGCGCAAGATAGACGAAAAGTTCGAAGAGGAGCAACAGCACCTGAATGCGGAACGCGAGAGACTTCAAGATGAGTGGGAACAGGCAAAGTTGGATGTCAGGGCTACTAGAAGCAGATTCAACTTGCCCGATGTTACGCCCGTCGTCGACCTGCTTGCCGACGACTCTGGAGACGAAGAGCGAATGCAAGCATAGCGCTCAGAAGAGTTTCAATGCGAGCCCCTCATCACGACTTTTTCCGACTGCTACCCTTCGTCCATACAGCTCGTGACTGTCTCGATACATCCGGGATCAATTCCCGCTCCTGCGCCGTGCCCTTGATGTGCTCCGACCCCATAGCTGTGAGAATCTTGTCTCGAGATTCAGCTTCACGAGAATGACCTATCCGCTCCAGAATGAGGCGCATTGAGTTGCGAATCCAGAATCATCAAGCTTCATCCTTTGACCATATGATGGCAGGTGCGTAAATCGCCGTCTCCGCATGCAGTCAGAAGCTGGGAGTCTTGAGTCAAGCGTCGGGGCGGGTATTGGATGCTCACGGGCAGAATTTACTCGGAGACGCGTGCGTTCGATTTTCGGAGACAACGTCATATATGGACGTACCGCAATTTGGCTGTACGGCCAAATGAGCCGTATTTCAAAATTGGCACTTATACGGCAACATATGCCGTATTGGGGGCATATATTGCGCATGCGCGCAAATTTGCTATGATGCGCGCAAATTTGAATTGATGGATTAATCAGAACTTGATTTGTATTGCGCGCGCAATGAGAATTCTAATCTTCAAGCGCAGCTTGTATTGGGCTCAACTACAATCTGTGTGCGCGCAATGCTAATTTGGAACGCTACCTCTGTATTTGGCTTGATTACAATGGGTGCGCGCGCAGTCAGAAATGTAATCTGCATGTTAATTCACATGATTCTCCTTTGATTTGTGTGCGCGCACGCAGCGAAAGGCCAGTACGGCTGCATATGACGTACCAATGCCATACAGCCAAATCGCGGTACGTCCATACATGACGTTGTCTCCGAAAATCGAACGCACGCATCTCCGAGTAAATCCTGCCTGCTCACGCGATCTCGCTAGCTGCCTCACGACACGTGATCGATTCTGCGCCCGCCTGGCGCGCAAACTCGCCTTATAGATCCTCGAAGAAATCACGCGAGCTCGTGGTCACGCGGACACGCCCTTCTCAGCTCTCGATCTCCATCACGATCAAAGAATGCACGAATATGGATCTGATGTTGCCACTAGACCTGCGTGATGCTAAGTCATTCGCTCAACAGGAAAGACACCAGAACCTCTCTCGATCGAACCCGAGCTGAATGGCGTCGAGAAGGGCGCAGTGAAGATTCAAAGCGGCCAGCATTTGGTGCGCCGTCCCATGAAATGTAGGCTGGCTAGCTCTGGCGCTCGAAATGCTGCTGTGACTCCAAAGGCTGAACAGGACGCGCCTTGTTTGCCAAGCTAGGGCAGAAATATTCTCAACACAAGGTGACTGCAACGCACTACCCTCGAAATGTCGCCGGAGATGCCGCGACAAAACATCAGCAACAAAGTGGCCAGATCGAGACTTGGCACTCCGGGTGTTTATCGGGCGCATCCCTGGTGCGCTGCGATCGTATTGCCCGCAAAGATGCGATGGAGCTCGCAACTTCTGGCTTTGCGAGGCATGTCGCACTGCACCGTACCAGGCTGAGAAACGCCCGGAAGATTGTGAATGTCCAGCGCGCTCAGCACGCCGGCAACAGTGAGAGCGGGATGTCGGGGCTTGGGCAATGAGGTGCGGGCGCTCGCGCAGCCGTGGCGCCCAGCACACGCCAATGTAGATAGAGGCGAACGCCCAAACTCCCGTGCTTTGGCGCGTCCATTCGCCCGCTACCCCAGCATTCACGCTTGCTTGTCTGGCATTTCGCTGAGAGGGAGCAAGCAAGACTCAGCCAACGACGACGAAGCTTCTTGAGAAGCGTGGTACTATACTCACCCTGGGACCTGCATCATAATCCAACATCGCCAAAGACTGAGGTGGCCCGTGGTGCCTGAGATGTTCTGCGACGGCGTCTCCTGGGCTCTTTGGCCTCTGGGGCAATGGGCAAACCCCTTTTTACCTGGTAAACACAGCTCAGGGCGCTCAAGCTACTCCGTACCTACGGCAGGAAACAACTACAATCGCATGGGCGCCTCTTCTGTAATCTGCTTCAGGGCTGCTCCATAAGCTTTCCAATGCCTTTGCGTTCGTGTGCGATGAGTCGCAAAATATGGTTACAGAGCTGGCTCTCGGCGGTTACACCAAAAACAGTACACACCTCGAGCCTGAGCCTCGAGTGGCGTATAAGAAGGGCTACCCTATCCTCGCAAGAGTTCCTATTGCACTCAGCCACCTCTCGCCGTCTGCCACCAACTTCTCCTCCAAGTCATCCTATCCGCAACATCCTCACCTTCACAGCAGGTCTGTGCTGGTCCCACCTACGCTTCGAATAGCTCCTCTCAGTCTCGCTGCGTCATTCCGCACTAATTATTATCCATACAAGTCACATCAAACATTCATCAGGAATGCAGGTCAGCTCTGTGACCTTCGCGCTCGCCGTTCTGTGAGTGTTAGCTCCAGCTCCCAAAGCGCACACATTCTTACGCTCACCTGCTGTTTTCATCCGTAGAGCCGGGCTAGCGGCTGCCTTCCCAGTCACCTTGCCCAACAATGGTCCTGAAATTAGCGTGAGTAGCTTCCATCGTCATTTGCGTGCAACGTCCATCTCTTGAATTTCGCCTGTCGTTGATCGTGCCCCGTTTACTTTTTTTCCGCAGTCGCAGAAAAATTCGCTTCAGGCTCGCGATCCTCGTCCCCAGGGGCTTCCTGCAGCAAAGTACGATCCCATGTACAAAAACAAAGGAGGGGAAACCTTCAAGGTTATGACGCCGGGACCTGAAAAGTACAATCAAGAACCGTTCAAGATGCCAAAAGAACAGAAGCACAATGGATCGGGACATCCTAGCGAGACGAACCATGACAAAGGGCACGGTTCGGGCTTTGTTCCGCAAAAATTCGACAATGAGCCCGAGAAGAAGAATGGGGGTCATACGCCCAAAAGCTTTGGTCCAGGCCGACAAAGTTTTGGCGAGCAGCCTCACAAGAAGCAGAGCGAGACGTTCAACTGGGGCATGGGCATTGGTCCTGAGCGCTTTGATACGGAGCCTGGAAGAACAAAGACGATGGGCTCTGGGTCGCCGTACAATCCGAAAGGTGCCTGGAACGGCTTGCCCAACGGTCACACCGGGGGAAGAGGTGACAAACCGGTCGTCAGCGGGGCAAAAACGCCATTGTTCGAGCAAAGTTTCATTCCCATGGGACGCACCGGAGGTGGAACCTACCATTTGGATCGTCGATCTGAGCCCGGCGTGAACGTGAGTAACAAAAAAATGCGAAGGCGAATGGCGCACGCTGCCCATACAATGGTCTGACCCGCTCGTCAAGTCTTACACTTCAGGACGGAGCCGGCTCGCTTGAAGCTCGTGCTCACACACCTGGCAAGGAATCCGAGGAGTCTGATGCCGAAAAGAAGGTCAAGAAGCACAAGCACAAGCATGAGCACCATAGCCAGGTCCAAGGCTCTGGTGTGGGGCCAACCAACAGTGGTACCGGCTTTGTCAATCCGTTCGCCAATCATCCCGCCACGGCAGAGGAGAAAGGGCGCGTCGAGAGATCAGCGATGCACGAGGCAAGCAGATTCGGCGGAGTGGGTCTCGCGCCTGGAACGATCCATCTGGATCGCCGCTCTAAGCAAGGCGTCAAGGTGAGCGAGCAAGATGCGTGCTTGGGTCCCGCTCACATTGCCTTACCTGCTTCTGCCTCTTCCCTCTGCAGCTCGACGCTGAGACGCTCGAAGCTCGCGACGGGGGTACCGCGACAGCCTCCCCTACTACCGCTGAATCGGGCTTTGGCAAGAGAAGCCCTCAGCCACAGGAGGGAATTTGGCAAGCAGAGATGCTCCAAGCCCGCCAAACCACCTGGGAGCAAGCCGAGCAGAATCTTCGCGATACCCAAAAGCTTTTGAAGGAAAATAAGGAATATCTTGAAAAGATGCGCGCAGCCAAGTCCGGTCCTCGTCATCGGAGGGAAATCGAGGAGCGCGCTTCGACGATCGAGGCGCGACATGCCGCCTCGAGAGACTCTCAGGCTTCCCTGCGTCGCAGAGACGATTGCGGTTTCCCGAACCAGTACTCGGAGGCATGCCAACAGCAGCGGCAGGCAGAGAAACTCCAACGGGCAAAGGAGCAGCATCGCCAACAGCAGAAGCTTGCGGGCATCCCCAAAACATCCAAAACGTCCCCAGGTCATGCAAAGGAAGGACCGATTGGAACAAGAGACATAGTACAGCCTGTCCAACAGATCGATCGGCGCTGGAAGTCGTTCGAGGAGCTTCAGAAAGGTCACCGTTCTTTCAAGGAGATCTACGATCCAAATCAGTCCAAGTCGGCAGTTCCAGCAGCTGCTGCCCCCGCAGGAGGCCCTCAACACAGACGAGACATCCAGGAGCTCAGTCATGGTAGCGCGGCCCAGATCATTGAGAGCAGAAATCAGCAGCTCGAGGATTTCGCCAATCAGTGGCAAAAGACGGTGGACGCATTGAAAAGCTACCACATTGGTCGTAAAAGAGATGTCGAAGTAAGCTCCGGCTGATGTGGACGACTTGATGCTCGGGCTGCATGCTGATGCAGCCATATTGGACCATTCTAACAAGCGCTCCGATGCGGTCGAGCTGCGATCGCGGTCGACAACCTTGCTGATCAACAGGCACTCGCGCGCCAAAGAGCGTTGGATGAACAGAGGCTGGGCTTCTGGTTCTACCTCATCAGCACCCACTTCCTCGGCGTCGACATCAGCACCCACTTCATCGGCGTCGGCGCCTGAATATCGAAAGAACAAAATTCTGCCGAGGCGCCCGCAAGGTGTGCCAGCAATCGTGATGTAAATTTGAACTGCGCGCAAGAGACCATGCGGATGGGAAGGAAGAAGGCCTTTCATTCACGGCTACGCGGTGGACTAGGCGGTAAAGAAGGTCGCTATGGAGAAGGGGATCGGGACAGGAGGAAGGGGGAGGGGGGCGCGCAGGTGCGGCTACTCGCTAAGCTACCTTTGTCGCCTGTCGAGAGGTAGAAGACTTCCCTTTCAGTGCTCTTCAAACGTACCAATCTGACCTCACTGACAAAGCACTGTGCCACCTAGTCTCACTCAGAGCTCCCTTTCTATGGCTCACCGACGGGTCCATCCCATGGCCCCCAGCATGAGTGCCTTACGCGGTCAATTGTGAGACATCAGTAGGCCTTCACACGACAATAACCAAATCTCCCCTTCATCGCCAGCTGCTTTCAATACATTCTTTCGACTTGCACCGCACCCCTTGTGACCATCAAGGGCCACTTTTCCGAGATAACGCATCTCGCTCGTCTCTTGAAAGCGGTCGTCGTGGCCGCCCAAGGCATCTGTCCTACCCTTATAGCCGTACGCATATTCAGAACCCAGAAGCCACCACACATCCACCTGCGATGCTTCATTGCGACGAATTTCCCCGCACTGCGCAGAGAAGGGAGATGAGACAAGTGACCTCCAATGGGAGTACCCAAGGATCTTGCGCGCGATGTCATGCGCTTCCTCCTTGCCTCGGCCTTGCGAGAAAACGATAATGTCCGCACGGAAGACTCACCGCTTTGACCGCGTGACTTGCAGCTTTGAGAAGAAGAGGTGCCTCTTGCGGATGTGGGACAGCACGCTGTGGCTTGGCGCGCATAAGCCCGGCAGGCGGGCCTCGGGTCCCGCTTCCGCAGGTGGCGAGCACGCAAAAACGCACGAATTGGAAGAAGTCTGGACGGTGGCAAATGGCGCCAGTCGGCCTTTGACGAACAGCATGGCATGACCGGTCATGCCATTGTGATTGAATCTTGGATAACGACCGTGACATAACCTTGAAGATATCTCGCATGAAAGCAGAACGTGTGACACAGTCTTGCGCGACAGATAAGCAAACGTATTGGTCAAGCGTGGTAGCACTTCTACACGCAAGGTCCGAAGTGCCTTCCTCATAGGTGCGATGGAAGCACTGCACTTGCGCTCGCAAGACAGCGTGCATGGCTCAACGGGCAAAACGGCTGCATGTCCGTGGAAAGACCGAGGCGGGAAGTCTGATCCTTCGACTGGAAGGCGCTTCGCGAGTGTGTCCAGAGCACTTGCTGCGTCGGGACTCGTCCACGGTTCACCGAGACTTGCACCGACAAGTCAAGAGCGGACCTCGTGGTTCTTCCTCTGCAGTGAATCCTGCCGGCCAGTCATCGCGTGCTGCCCCCAAGCTAAGGCGTTCGTTCCACTAGACTTTGCTCCCCAGTGAAGTCGCAGGATCGAGGCACCGGATACTCATTAAGTGGACTTATGACTCAAAGAGCTCTGCAGGGCCACGTTTCGACCGAGGTATTGGCAACGAATCGATTTCAGCAACTCGAGAGCACCACTCCTCCGGCTGAAGCCGCACTGGAACCAGCTCCCAAAGCGATCATTAGGAAGAAGAAGTGCGATTCAGCCACACTTCTTCTGCGTCGTGTTCCTGCGGACGGCAGTATACACAAGAGGTGTGAGCCCGGAGGAGCAAGGCAGATCCCAGGATGGCATGGGAGCGCAAGCACTCCCGCCACTTGAAGTGAGACCATGCGATTCGACAGTCTGCCTATTCGGCAGGGATCCGAAGAATAAAGCACGTAAGGCAAAAGGGCTTCCCATCAGGGTCTTTTGCTGTTATCTGCGCGGCAGTCGTTTGCCCGCTCAGATTGAAGCTCAAACGACCTGGCGCATTAGCGCGAAAAGGCGGAATTGGCAGTTTGGCTCGCTCGGCAACACAACAGGCCGAGTGCCTGCTCCTTCGGGCTCCAACGGTGGATCTGCACATCCTTGCTGTATGCGGACTCTGGACCTGGACCGGCGGGCAAAACGGCGTGAAGAGCGAAGGTGAGCTTGCAGCAAGCAGCAGGATCCGCGGCGGAGTCGAGAGCAGGCAATGAGTGATGAGAGAGCTAGGAACGACTCGCTTCTCGCTTCTCACGCCAGCTGGGTGGGCAAAGGCAGGCTTTCGTGATGCTTGCTGCAATTTGAATTCCATCTGTCGTGTGAGCGGGTGAGCGGGTTAGATGGCCTTCATATCGGGCCCGTACTCTGTCTTCCGTCTCACCCTGATGCGGTGGTGCACCGCCGCGCAAGCCACTTGTCATGCGAGCTCGACCAACCTGTTTCCTCACGCTTGTCCATCAACGTCTCGACATCGTGCGACCGCGTGCTTCGGAGACTTTCCTGTCGTGTGCCTGTGTCAGGCACATATTGAGCCTTTGTGGCGTCCTGTCGAGGACGGTGTCGGTCCAGCATCATCGTGAACGGACCCCTTCGTTATCACTGATGAGAGCCAGATGACAGGAGCGACCGATTTCTAGCAAGGGAATTGAGCCTGGTCGTGGGTTGTTAGCAGCATCGTGCGTATGGTCACGCATCCTGCTCATCGGTGACTGGCTCGAGCAACGTAGCGGCCAAGCGCTGCTGATGAGTTGTGCCCACGCCTTCCAGAAGCCTGCTAGGTCATCCAAAGCGGAAAGCAACGCAGTCGGCGATCATGGATCGATCATTTGTAAATTGCGCACACCCACACTCGTGACTTGGTCAATTCGTGATTAGCACAGATTCTCTCACGGCGACCTCACGACTGCCCCGCCGAAGCAAGCTCGTTTAGCTTTTGCTTGGCTGCGCCAATTGGCGAACCTTATCAGCATCTCGCGTTGCTCAACTAGCTCAACCAACGTGTCAATGTACCACTCACGTTTGTCATCTCGAAATGCACAGAGGCCAGGCCGAAACAAGATAAGAGGTCTTGCGATATCTGAGTGCACGTACCTCATGAAAGAGTTCGAGCAAAGTCAGGCTCGCGCTATCGGAATTGGAGAGCATCTATCGGCTAGAAGTTGCGCGTATCGACGCGGCGGCAGCGGGTACATGAGCTCAAGATAGTTGAAATAGATGAGCCCCAGCCGCAGACCAACCGCCAAGCGAAGTGCGAGACGAGCTAGGTGGGAGGGTGGACCAGAGCCTACACTGTACAAGTATAGCCAGGCAACGCTTCCGTCTTGCCACAG